CTGGGACATAAACTTCACATCTTAAACTCCTCGCTGCAGTCTTTGATGCAAAAGAGTTACTTAGATTTGTTAGTTGCACTTAAACACGCGGTTGAAATCATTTTGGTAAAGATTTATCTCCATTTACGACGGTTTTGAGGTATTTTCGTATAGCCTCGTTTTCATGCTGGGATATGAACGTCACAATTTAAACTCGTCTTAGCAGCCGTCGGTGCAAGTCTAAAAATTGCCGACAACATTTTTCATGTTCCTTAATGTCCTCTTAACATATCTAGATAGGTGACTTGCTTTTTTCAAAAAATTCCCACGGGATTACATAAGCTCCCGGACTAACTGGCTCTTCGTAAGTTTTTTCCAAGATGGTGGTCGACCTGAGAAAACCAGGCTGGCTATTCCCCTGGTTCTTTTTTCTTAGGCACAAGTTGGACTTAAACTCTCATACAAGTTAATTTACCATTTCAACTTTGTTGATACATCCAAGTTAATTTAAGACAGCCTGGGACGGTCTTAAATGGTAGTCTGAATTTCCACCCAATTCTCACAGAAAACCTCATTTAAATTTATAGAGTAGATATGACGTTCGCTAAGAAATGCCAAGCGATTCTTAAAATTATTTATGAGTTTTAGGGGACATATTTTCTGGCAGTCAGATGATTTTCCGATATGAAAAAATACCCTGATTGAATTTTGAACGGTATGTTATGTAGACGCCATGCTAAACAAGCATCTGGCATGGTCGCCACAGTCATGGGATTTTTTAATTCCCCAAATTATCACTGACTATTTTTCATGACAAAAGTAAATTTCCCTGATCAACTGAGTTAAAAATTTTAAAATGAACCCTGATAATGGCCTCCAACCTCCACTCACAATTAGCCTCTACACATAACTTCTACCAACACCAGTCACAATCTAGAAATGTAACAGAGAATTCAAAATGTTGGTAAACAATGAAAATTGACTTCTTCTGTGGTAAGAATTTCACTTTTCTTTGACTTGTTTCAAATATGAAAATTTTCTTTAATCCATTTAAGATTGTATAAAGGCTGATAGTTTTGAAAGAAACTGGGGCTGCATCAGTGGGGGTAACGAAATAATTTGGATATATCAACAAAGTTGAAATGGTAAATTGGCCACCGTAACGATTACAAAAGCTGACGTTTTGAGTGTTAGCCCTGCGTTGGAGCGAATAGAGGAATTGTGGGTTGTGTACGCTTTTAAAGGCAGAAAATGGAGCTACGTTATTGGTGGGAACATGGCAATGAGAAAAACAAGAATAAATTAGTGGAATGAAAAGCGTTCATTGATCCCTGTGCTTGGCTGCCAGCATTTAGCCACTGTAATTCAAAGTTTCACCTGCACTCCTTTGACACCAAAGAAATGGAGCCAAATTTTTTTAGAAAACAAATCTTATTTGAAAAGTCCTTCATAGTCTTCCATATCAATGAACTTTAGTTGTAAAATTAGATTTTTCCAATTCAAACTTTTGCTCAGCATTCTAAATACAAATTATAAAATGTACACAATGTCTCTGTTATCCTCTTTGTGCTGTTTTGCAACAGTAATGATACATCCCTCAGGCATTTGATTGTATAACACCTCTTGGTGTCCAAATTCTGATATCAAATTGTAAATTGAAGCTCATTGTATGCTTGATTTGGATAGTTTGAATGATGACTAGACGCATAGCTGCATGAACTTGGGCTTTCAATATCACACATCTGGAGTTATCTTTAGGGGACTGCCATCATTACTGACATCAAGTAATTTCATCATTGCCGGTCATGAATAAGTCTACTTGTGTTTATTTTTGTCTGCTGGAGTGTAATGAATGTTGTTATGATACTAGACAACAATCAGAATAATATATTACCATATAGGAGTAGGTTCCTACAGATGCCAAAGATTGAAATTCAAGGACTTTTCAGTGACTTTGAAGGCCAAGTTTTAGAAAATTGAAGGACCACTTTTGAAAAGGTTTGTATAAGCAATTTTAAAATCATCTTATATTGTTTCTCAGCTTTTCCATGAAAGTACTGTAATTTTCAACTAGAAAATTGCTAAAGAAAAAGCATTGCAAAAATCAAGCTCTAGTCCTCAAATTCAAGTACTTTCAAGGCCTTGAATTTTTCATTTTTAAATTCAAGCATCTTCAACGACTTTCAAGGCTTTTACGAACCCTGAGTAGGTAATGTATTTGGCTTTAACTGCAAGGAGAAGGGAATTTTTTATCTATTATTGGTACTGAGTCACAGTTTGTTGCCAAATGTTCACCCAAGGGAAGCTGTCAGAAATCAGTAGATTGAAGCAATATTACTGTTCAATAAAAAATCTCTGAATATTGAATATTGCTAATGGCCACAATAAGAGAAGCAGTGCTATTTACAGTTTTAGTATATTCAATAAGGGGCATTTGACTTTTATTAAATACCGATAGGGAATACACATATTTTGACCTTTTTGTGGGTTTAAAAATACATCATACTAAAAACTGAAAACCACATCAAAACCCTGTGCATTCATTATTATTTCTTACAAGATTTTTGAGAGTTGATTTCCTGGTGTTTAAATTCCAATAACTACATGATTTTATTATAAAGAAGTCGAGTGAATAGACAGCCACAGCACAACTCACTTTCTGGTTTTACAGGCATGACTCTGAAAAAGGGTACTATTTTGAACTAATCTTGACCCCTTTCAACTCAAATATATCATTGTTATGTATACTCTAAACATAATGTACTAAGCTATTCAGTGATGATACTTCGAGCAGCACTAAAGTAACTTTAGGATGGCTTCTACAATAAATATCCCTTGCAAGAGAAACGCATGTTTTCGAGCCCATGTTACCTTTACAATAGATAGCAACTGCAGTACACCCTATTGTCAAGACAAAATTGTTGAAATTTTTGGATACGAGTGATTGAAAGGCTCTATCTAAGAAGGTACTGTAGCTTCTTGATGAACAGTACCAGTGTAGCTCTCACTGTATTAAAGTTCATAGCCTCAAACATTTTTAAAAGTGTGGGTAATAAATCTATGAACTTGAATTCAACTGATTTCCGATATTCATCATCGACACAAGATCAGTAACAGAATTGATTCCTTGTTTGTTATTGTAAATCAAAGGGCATAAACCAACTCATTGCAACACATTGTTGTCCTGAATTTTTTCCAAATACCAACTTATTAGCTTGGCTATATGGTGCCATTATTATTTTGCTAGGGTCAAAGTACATTGGAGTAGAACCAAGGTTTTTCCCTATATCTGACCTCAGTTGAAATTTACAATAGTTTGATGCGTGTGTCTGACTCTTAAAAAGACACATGGCTCGATTACAAGAAAACATTGATCAATACCGACTTGCTCTATGCTTCAATTTGATTATCCTTCGATGTAACCTCGCAGAACAATTCAACAAATACTTCTTCTCCCGTTGTGGAACTTTTATTTAATCTCACCCTCTTCGTATTAAGCTTACAAACATTCTTTGTAACTCTTCTAACCTTCTCATAGCGACACAGCCAAGAGGACTTCGGAACACTTGGACGAATACGCTCATAAGCAAATTCCTTCAGTTTTTTTCCCTTTCTTCTGAGACGTTTCAGAGTAGCATCTGATATTGCACTGGGTTCTCGATCACATCTAAATACACGGTTGTGTTTATATGTAAACATAATATGAGAGAGCTCGTTTGATGTAGCGGGTTTCGCTTGATATTCCTCGATAGAAGGTTCACTAGTTAAGTATCGTTCGTACATTGATCTCTCGTAAAGTTCGCGGACCACCCGTTCTCAATACGCTCAACATGTTTTTGTGTGGGTCTACCGCGATGTGTGACTTTGTATATGTATTGGCCGTCGAACTTTTTTCGCGTCCACGAAGGCAGCCACGCGCTCTACGGTTCCTTCTACGCATGCCCTTACACCTCACACATGCGCTGTAGTGGAACTGTGTTTTGTGACTAAACGCAAAAAAAAAAAAAAAAAAAAAAGCCGAATTTATAACTCGGGCGTTTCCTTCGGAAAGCCCGAGCGAGTAAAATATATTTTTTTAGAATTCCAGCCTTAGAGCTATCAAAGGGTTTATAATTAATTATGTAATTTTGAAAACCATAATCCTGATAGGTAAGCAAACCATTCATGGAAGCACAAAGAGTTTGTTGAAACCAACATTTTGTGCTGTTTTAAGCAAAATGAAACATCTGAAAGCCCTTGAGTATCCAATAGCTAATTTAACAGGGGTGAAATAAATATCTTTCACAAGAAAAGGAGCAATATAGGCATTTAATCAACATTCAATTTCATTTTGCAAACTATGCTTACCAACTTCTTAATCATATTAAATACAATGAACTTGATGTTACTCATTAAAGTAATGCAGTATTTGATTTATATTACCGTTGTAAGTAGTGTAATAATTATAGGATTTCAGCATAGTGGTTGTCCATCGGATCCAATGATGACATTTGCATTATGCACCTCATCGATGCATGCGAAGGTGGCTCTGCAGTTTTAGCCTGGAGGCACAGAGTCTTGACCAGTGGGGGCATTGGAAGTCCATTGTTGTTATCATTGCTGAAGCAGCCCTGTGTCACTTTTCTCTCACATCAGAGAGCTTCTGGCATCATGCTTCTTCGTAGTTGGTAGCAGCTTTGTGGATTGAGCCTCTCCATTCTGGTCTGTTTGCAGCATGTTCCTCAAGATCTTTCGGCTTGACATGACACCACTGAATGTTTGCTTTCACAGTGTCTTTGTAACGCAGTTTGGACGGCCTTGGTTTCTCTTGCCGAGCTGGAGCTCACCATACATGAGGCATCTTGGCATCCTAAACTCCTCCATCCGGATGACATGCCCCACCCATCGAAGTTGGGCCTTAATGAGCACAGCCTCAATGCATGAGTGATGAATTGTATGTACTGTGTTGTAGAGTTTATGTACAGGACTTATCAGAATTATTAAATTTGCACCTCCTTGTCCTCTTAGTACACAGTGCTAGGAAAAGGTAAATGAATATTTATTTCCCATCAGATTCCATATTTTACCGAAATCTATTACCAATCTAAAATAAGTTGGTGACTGTTGTCTGATCTAAGAGTCACTGCTTATTACACAAATGCCAAGCATATTAACAGGTAGATGCCAGCAGTGTATTCTTCCATTGTGAAAAGTTTTACAATGCATATGTGTTGCATGAAATCTCTCTCTTCCATTTTATTCCTGCTTAGTTCTTTCTCACCAGCAATGTCTTGGATAGTTAACTGTTACAAGATGATCTACCTAGAGTACAAAATTGAAATGAAAAGAAGCTGTCCAACAAAAGTTTGTAAGCTGACATTTTAAGCATTAACCCTTCACCAGAGCAAATGATGAAGAGTTAATGCTCAAATGGTCAGCTTAGAAACTCTTAACAATGGTCAATTTACACTATCAACTCAGTTGATAAAACAATATTATCTTGTTATACTCCCCCACTGATGCTGCACCTCAGTTTCTTTAGAAACTCACTCCCTTTGTTTGATGCCAGCAAAACAAAAAAATCTCATACAGGTGAGTGTTGTGTAAGACCAGAAGACTTAAGATCAGTCTAAAAGGAAATTAGAAAACAAGAAAATAGGTAATCAACAGTCATTGTTTAGCAAAGTTTGGACTTTTGAATCAGTTTCCTTCTTGGCTGAGACAAAGGCCCAAGTTTTGTACCAATTTTCCAGGACATATTTTTTGCTTAAAAACAGTGTGCCTTAAAACCAATCAACTATATGGCATATATACCTATATATCTGCTTGGATTTGCACAACATTGTTGCAACATTGACATTCAGGTTCATGCCCTACCACAGCTCAGCTAGTGGGTGGACAACTTGTGGTTGGAGGGAAGTTGGGAGTCCACTACAACAGGTTTAGTAAAAGTAAACTTTAGTAAATGCTCCGACGAAGGGCTAACGCTCGAAACATCAGCTTTTGTAATTGTTACGGTGGCCAATTTACCACTTCAACTTTGTTGACATATCCAAATTATTTCGTTACTCCCATCGACGCAGCCCCAAACAGTTTCTTTAGAAACTATCAGCCTTAATTCATTAGTAAAAGTAAAGTCTGTTTACGAGCCTAGTGGCTCATTAGGCCGGTGCTTAACTCCAGTTTCTGTAGCATGAAGCGACTAGGAGTATTTCTACTCCCACCTGGATGGGATGCTAGTCCATCGCAGGGTTACCCCCAGCATTAAATTGCCGGTACCCATTTATACACCTGGGTGGAGAGAGGCACTGTGAGAGTAAAGTGTCTTCCCTAAGAACACAACACAATGTCCCGGCCGGGGCTCGAACCTGGATCACTCTATCTGGTGTCGAGCGCACTAACCATGAGGCCACTGCGCCTCCACAACAGGCTTAGTAGGGACTGCAAAAACCTGATGGCTACCTTTTTGCTTAGAGGAAGGCATCCCAATTTTCAATGGCATGTGGTTGAAAATTGACTTTGAGTTTGCTTTTTTATATGTATATATGTATATATCATACATCATGTAGCATACAACATCAAATTTGTATAAATATTGATTGATGGATGGATGGTGACAAATGGATAGACATCGTGTGCTCTGAGAAACAAAGATAACGATTAATGTTTCCAGCCTTTAATGATAATATTTAAGCTATTTTGGCCTTCTTCAGGTTAAAAAATCACTATTTACAAAATTTTAAATTGTTAAAAAAATCTAAAATCTAAAATCTAAAAAGGTAATAATTGTCAACAAATTATAACAAGATAGGGGGTACATCTTTTAAGGCATGAAAATATGTGGAGTTGTATGATATAATGTAAAAATATGTACATATTACAGGCCAAGGGAGTGAAACTAGAAAGTTATAATATTGTTACAATCTTCTACGTTTAGCTTCATGTGATTTGATAGATTTTCATTTGAGCTGCTTAGTTAAATAAATAAAAAAGACAACTTATAGCCAATGAGAGCAGGGGAATCAACAGATTACTGCTAAATAATAAAATAGTAATGTAGTTACAGTGATTTAATCTCTTTACACTGTGCAACAGATGTGAAGTTCACATCTGAACTCTTACCTTGCAATGAGGCCATGAAGTCATAATGTAAAAAGCTGTGAGGTCCAATAAACCTCTCTGATGAGTGGTTATCACACCAGGTTGAGGTTACTTTTATTAAAGTGGTTATTATTCAATGATAACAAAAGTAACTTGGTTGACGTGACCTTTATAACAATTGATATGAATTACTAGCCAGTAGACTTATTTGTTACCAGTCTGTAATGATTTTCAGTGTAGGATCTCTGAACCATGCCTTAAACTCTTTGGAAGTTGAAGCTAAGTAATGTATTGTGGCACACAGAGTGTAAGAAACCAAATGCATTTAAATTTGGAACTACAAGTATGATACATTCTCTGAACTCTCTCAGCTGCACAACTCAGAAGTTTGTGTCTTAAATTAGATAATGCTGGCAAAGATCACTTCATTTCCTGTTGACTTCGTTTTTGTTTTGTTTTGTTTTGTTTTTTTTCATATATACAAATGTAGATATCATACACAGCTATAATTACACAAAGTTGCCTTTCGTCACTAAGGAAATAATAGTATAGTACTACTAAAATCAAGTTAACTATAAAAATGAGAACCTGGTCCATAAAACCCTTAATAGTCTAAGAACCTGTTGCACAAATGCAAATAGTTTAACTTCCCAGAACATTTGCATTCCAGTAATGCCACAGATCTAGAATGTACATACTAGATACAGACATCTTTCAAATAATGAAAAAAATCACATCACTGAGTTTTGTTCAAAACAAATTCTCAGTTTAATTTACATATCGTTTCTTTAAAGCATCTCAGGCATTTTGCTTATGGAAAAAAAAAGAGAGTCTACAACAAAGTTCCTCAATCAAAAGTACCACTTGCACTTTCTTGTTTGGGTAATTAAATTGGCAAACAGAAATCACATTAAAATAATTCACTCAACACCAAAAGGAAAAGTCTTTGACTACCTAAGCAATCAACCACTTATGGTGAAAGATTTCAATTCACTGCCCTTTTATTACAGAAAAGGCCTGAAAAAGTTACCATTTGTAATTAACTGTGTTGGAATTGCAATGCTCTTATGAAATGGACATGTTAGCACAGCCCATAGTTAATACGCTAGCCTTTAAGTTGACAGGTTCAGATTCAAGTTCTGGCCTGTCATCACATTGGGTTTTTTCACTCTCATATTATCCCTCTTAATCTAGTCTAAGGAGTTACAATGGTAACCTGCATGGTACCAGGTTACCATTGTACCATGCATGGTACAATGGTAACCAGAATTGGCAGAATTGCATCCAGGGAAGACAGGAAAGAGAAACAAAACTAAGTTTCTTACTACAGTAAAAAACTAAATTTCTTAAAGCCTGTAGCTAGATGGTTAATCACTAGTCTCCAGCCCTAAATAGACTCAATGCATTAATTTTATGTCAAAGACATTTGTACAATTCTGGGATATCCCTAAAAGGTTTTGTTACATTGATACACCAACTCTCTAAAGACAAACATAACTAAAATGAATTTCCACAGCCCCAACCCTTTACAAATACCCAAACTATGTATACACAATAACTCAAATACTGAGTTTCAGTGTTAGAGGCCTTAAGGCGTGTCCCTTTCACTGAAATCTGCACATATTGATGAAATTACAAACAAGACCCTTTGAAGTACTTTCTCCATCTACAAGTATTCGTTTAAAATAAAAAAACAAACAAAACAAAACAGCAACAAAGCTTATCATTTAGCTTATTACATTAAGGTTAATTTTGAGCAATGGCTTACTTTCTATTCTAACACTGAGACACTTTCCATCAAGGAAATAGGAAACAATTTAAACAGCCACTGGAAATTGTAGTGTAGATACCTGTAGACTGTATAATATTTTGGAAAAGTAAAAATGTGCATGCAATTATTATTTAGGACCATGTCTAGAATTACATGGAAAGCACAAAATTGTATGGAGGTAGGTAGATATTGTGGTAAAAGCTTAGAGGATAATAAAATCAAAGCTGAAAATGTATAAATTAGTGGTACTTGCTTACAGTTGTGTTGTGTCTTTGGTGCATGTGGTTGGTATAAATACACTTTCCTCAAGACTTTTGAAATTCATCAGAAAAATATGGCAGAGTCTGCACCACCTTAAAAATATTGGTCTTTGTCATGGTTGCCACAGTCAAAGGTTTTGAAATTCCCTGAGTTTTCCCTGGTAAATGCAAATTTACCTGACCAACTGAATCAACAATTTCACAAACCAGTCCCAGCAATGGCTTGCAACCTTCCCTCAAAGCCATCCTCTCAACCCATAAATTTATGCTTTTAGCAAATCACATACAGTGTACATGAAAAGATAGCTCCTTAAGGTGACAAAGAAAAATAATTGATTTTCTAGGAAACTCAACATCAGCCTGCTGTTGAATTTTATCAAAAAATATTCTACCAATTTTGCCCCTTTCATGTCTGTGAAATGTACCAAAGAATTTCAAATGATAGCAACTTGAATATTACAAAGGGAAATGACATATTGTTGAGGAATCTGTGAACTGTAGTGAACAATGTACATGACATCACAAAAAAGAAAGTGTCACCATCTTCTCTCAAGGCCGAGACCAACTTCATATTTACTTGAAATTTTACTTTTCTCTCTATTTTTTAAAAAGATGTCAGTTTCGCTGAGTCAAAGTTTAATTATCTAACTTTTCCCTATTCTATGGCAACCATGACTATTTATTTGCAAGCATTACTCCAAGTTTTCATCTATAATTCTAGCTGCCATTCATAAAACAAAATTGTGCGTTGTACAACCTTGAAATCTCAAGGACCAAATTTGGTGAAAAGTCTCTGCCATACAGCATGAAAAGAAACCTAAACCACCACAAAAAAGTCCTTTTAATGAGATGGGTTCAAACAATTACCAATTTCTATTTTTTTTCCATCAACTTGGCTGGCAACTTATAGAAAAACATTTGGTGATTGTTGCTCAATTCGTTGAATTGAATGATTACGTACTAAAAATGAGAATCTTAAACAACCTGGAAACAAAATAACAAAATAAGCGAACAAATTGTCTATTAAAAAATTCTTAAAAGGAAATTTAATTTCCCTAAAAAACACTAATATGTGTCAGAAGTCAAAATCATTTACTCTGTTGAAATTTTGGGTCAATAAAACTTAACTTCATCAAATAAAAAGCAAATGAACCAATATGACCTAGTAAGTTTCTACTAATCTAAGTACCACTAACCTAAGAGTTCACCAAGCAAGTCTAGGTTAGGTATTGATCCAGTGTAAGTTGTTTCTAGATTCCCTTGATTAATAGCTGACTGTTCAAGTAGAGATGTGAATGATGGTGCTTTATCAAGTGAACTGAGAGGTGAAATCCCAGCATACTGTGCATCACCTTCCCTCACAGATGAATATCGCTCAGTCATTTCTCTGAGGGGCACAGAAGAAGTCTGGAATTCACTTCCCTGTTGTAATACTGAATCAGACTGCTGTTGTTGATGAATGCCTCCTCTATACATCATTGATGAATGTTGTGACCTGGGAGCTGCAGAGTTTAGGTCACCATTAGAAGAAGGTGGCCTTCTTGTTAACAATGGTACTGTTTGCACAGAAGATGATGATGAAAAACCCATGTTGGAATTCATCAAGTAAGATTCTCTATCATCTACAACATTTTGGGAAGGGGTTTGTAAAACACCTCGCAGAAGACTTGCTTGGCTAGATCCCAAAGTATGTTGCATTCCGTGGGAGAAATTTTCTTGTGGTTGACTATTTGTGCGATGATAAATTGGAAAAGAGTTTCGCCGCTGATAATGGTAAGTGTTGGTTTGATCTGAAAATCCAGAGAGGTCTCCCTGGTAACTACCAATTTGTGGTTGGTACTGAGAGTCAGAGTTTGAGTAGGGTTGGTTTTGTAATGGTGGCATTGACTTTTGACGCTGAAATTGTGTTTGTGATCGTGGCATGGTGTATCTTCCAACATCATGTGAAGAGACTGGTCCTCTTAATCCAGCCACCTGTGATGAAGATGAAATAACTGGTTGACTTTGAAATTTACGAGAGTACAGCTGTTGGACTTGTGAAGGCATGTGGGTGAGTTTTGGTAAGCCGTCCTGTTGAAAACCATAAAATGGTTGTGGTTGCTGTTGTTGTACTGGGGGCTGCGACGATAGAGCCATTTGATACTGCCTAGATAATTGTTGCCGATTGTTTGAAATGACTGACAAACCTTCAGGATATTTACCTGCTGTGTAGGGATGCCTTAAACCGGGAGACTGTTGACCTGTTGGGCCAACAGGATACTGACTTGAGTGTTGTTGCAACTGGGGTTTTGGTCGTTCTTGGCTATCCCCAAATGACACCACAGGCTGACCCTGAGGAAATTGTGACTTCCTAGCAATTTCTTTCAGTTGAAGAGATTGTGGGCGATTCTTTTTTTCATCAATACCAGGCAGTGAAGCTCTGTCACCTACACTTGGGTGCACTGACGGTGATGTAGCAGGTGCGCTGTCTTCATTAAAGCGTTTAATTACGTTTTCAAAATGTATGAGCTCCTGTCGTATGTAGTCTTCGCCGTTAACAACAGTTCCCGGACCATTTTCAGAATGCGTGGATTCGTCGCAAGAATTGATCGCAACCTTCTCTCGCTTGAAATCAAGCGGTAATCTGTGGCATCCACGGGGGTAAGCTTCTGTGCCGACAGATTCTTGAATTGAAATAGGATTGAACTTGTTTTGATGCACTTGAGTTGGAGCATGTGTTATCTGGTGTGGCTGATTAACCGAAACGACAGGGCTTTGGCCCTCTGTCGACGGAGCATGCAAAATACCATCTTGTCTCTGGTGCTTGCTCATGTATTCCCCACCAAGGTTATCATCATTCGATTCCACGTACGTATTCGGTGTACTGTTCATATTTTGCTCGTGTTTTCTCTTCTTCAATAGGATTTGCTGCTGGCAGGATAAGTACAATAAGCTACAGTTAGTGTGAAATATGAAAAGTAGTGCGCGTGTTTAACACTAGACACAAACTAAACAATTGGATCGATACCGTTAACAACAGCCCCGCATTCATGTCACCATAATGAATGCCCATCAAAACATATGCTGAAATGTCTTCCGTTAAAACAACGATCGTGCATCAACACAAAAAAGATAACTACGTACCTCGCGTATTTGATAGATGGCATTAGTCGATTTTTCAAATCCGTTTGCTGTTTGTTGCTGTTCTACTTTGCCTTCGCCGTCATTTTGTTTTGATGTCTTCCCGTTCATGTTCATCATCCTATTGCGGCTATCTAAAGCACGTTTGTGCAAATTCAGTGCTTCTTGTCTTTCCATGTCCTGAACAGCTGGCAGAGACTCTGCATATTGTTTCTGGCAGTCATAGTGCCGCTTTCTGTACTGGCTGAAACGCTGCCGCAGTCTATCCATTACGGCTTGGTGCGATGCATGTCGTGGTGAAGTCATTCCGGCACTAGATCGCGAGCCCGTTTCATTCATCCTCAAAATGATTACTCACTCAAATCCATGCTAAGAATTTTAAAGCCCTGATATTGCGCCTTTCTCAGCTTTTATCTTAGCGAAGGTAACCCCAGTTAAACGAACGATTTTCTGTACGTGAAAACGGATCCATCCGAGCATTCCAGCCGTACTCGCCGACGGTCAGCCATATTTATTTCGATTAGCAGCAACCCTCGAGTGAAGCCATGACGTCACAAGGGCCTCTCAGGAAAGTTGTCTTTCATCAACGTTGAAGTTAAAGCAATAGTTCGCTCCCAATATTTTCAATAGCACTTGCAATGTTACGGCTACCATTTCAGAATCGACTCAGGGCATATTCCCTGACCTCACAAAAGGCTTCAAATTAGGATAGTTTGACCAGCCAAATATTGCTATTGATCTTATTTAACGTTCTCACGTATTCTCACAGTAAAAGTTGTCAAGCGTAGTAAATTCATCTACATAATATTTCACCTACTTTCTAAAATTATGAAAGTGACTACGCTCAGTGACCCAAAGTAATCACAAATGTTTCAAACATGGTACAAACCTTCGCCTTTTATGTGAAATTCTAAATTCATTAGTGATGATATCAGAAGTAAATTTCTCTTTAATTCACATCGTGGAGTATTAATATCTGATTGGGTAGTTTACTAGATTGTTATTGAGTGGGTTTTCATCATTGCCTGAAGCTGATTGGAACAAATACAATCAGCTTATCTTTGAGATACTGGCCTTACCTCCGTTACGACTGTCACGCTGTTATTAAAAAAGGAAAATAACCCTGAAATGAGAGTAGTGGGTTGAAAAAAGAAAATACGCAATACTTGAAGTCCTCATTACCAAGGACATCTCACAACGAGAAGCTTGTTATTAAAACAACAGATTCCATTTCTTAACATTTGATCAATATATCCAGTATTACCAACACTGAAAAGATAGGTAAAAGTGACCGCAAGTCAAAATTAAACGGCAAATGACTTGAAACATTATTTTTTGTTTATGTGCCAATCACCTCATTGGCGATAATCTATTTTAAATCATAGAAATAAGTAAGTGGGTGCTACCCGTCAATTGTAGCTTTTGGGTCTTAAAACCCAGGTTAAAAAATTTTATCAATAGCTTTTCAATCTGCGATGTAATTTAGTTTTTTTCAGGAAGTCGCAGAAGCTGCTAAGACAAGCAATGACGATAATATCACTGATGCCTCATTCTCCATTGGATTTTCGAGGTTGTTTCCACAGTTGAAAAGAAACTCCTGGCGATTACAAAAGTCTCGAAACCAATCATGAAATAACTGCTCTGAACAAATCAATCAACTTATTTATCAATTCATTTGTTAGTTTGTTTGTGTATTCATCTAATAACTGCTTTGTAGCATATCTGGTTCCTCTTGGGCCCGATGATCACCAGCTGTTCGATCAGTAAACAAAATAACCTAATGGTAAAGGGTGAGAGTTTCTAAAGAAACTGTGGTGCTGTGTCGGTGAGGGTAACAAGGTAATTTGGTTGTATTAACTAAGTTGAAATTGTAAATTGGCCACCATAAAGAGTTAAAAGGCTGACGTTTCGAGCGTTAGCCCTTCGTCAGAGCTCTGAATCACCTGGTAGAGGTTCGCCTTCAGCAAATTCGCAATTGTGTGCTGTTTTTATTGAGGCGTTTAATTAAGTTTTCAAAATGGATAAGATGCCGTCTCTTGTTCTCTTCACTGGTAACCACGTGCACAGTTTCTGGGCCATTTGCAGAATGCGTGGATCAGTCATGGCAAGAATCGTTCGCAGCCTTTTCTAACTCAAAATCAAAATGTATGAGCTCCTCTCCTATACACTCTTCATCATTAACCACAGTTACCGTGCCATTTTCAGAATACATGGACTCATCGAAAAAATTGATCGAACCTCCTCTTGCTTAAAGTCAAATTGGAGTTTTGGTCGTTCTTGGCTATCCACTGACAAATAACACCACGGGCTGAGCCTGTGCTAATTATGACTTCTGGTACGAATTTCTTTCAGATGACTGAGAGATTGTGGGTGATTCTTTTTTTAATCGATACCAGTCAGTGAAGCTCTGTCGCCTACATTTGGGTGCATTAATTGTGACGCGGCAGGTGCGCTGTATTCGTTAACTCCTGTTGTATGTAGTCTTCGCCGTTAACCACAGTTCCTGGGCCATTTTCAGAATGCGTTGATTCATCGCAAGAATCGATCGCAACCTTCTCTCGCCTAAGATCAAACTGGAGTTTTCTCTTTTTCAGTAGGATTTGCTGCTGGCAGGATTAGTACAAGAAGCTACAGTTAGTGTAAAATATGAAAAGTAGTGCGCGTGTTTTACACAAGACAAATGTATTAGAGATCTTTACCTGTTCTGTGAAAATCTTTACTCACCTGTAAGGTCCTCTTTATTTCACATTGCATAGTATTAATATCTGATCAAGAGACATTAGATCTCTT